GGGGGCAATTCCTGAGATCCCGGCAAGAGGGCCGGGGTCCAGGGTGCCACGTGGATCTGAAGTCTGTGTGGCCTCCGAACTGGCCGCCGCTGCCGCTGCGCTGTGGTGATGATGCGGTGCCTTGCGGGCTTTCAGCGCGGACGTGGCGCTCGCTCCCGCAGATGCTGCGCGTCGTGGCGGCCCCGTCGCAGCCTTGCGGATTGCGGCATCTACTTTGCCCCTTACCCGACGAGCGCGTGCCTTTACTCTTTCCTTTCTTCGCGTCAGACTTGAACGACTAGGGTGTCTGAGAGCTCCGCGAGGAGCGCGTGCTTCTCAGAACCCTTGACTTCGCCGTTGCCTTTTTCTAGCGAAGGTGCTGTTGTCCTTCCCGATGAATCTACGTCCCTCACGAGTAGGTCGTCGCGCGCGTCGACGCCGCTGTCGTTTGGCAGTCTCTATTTGCCGGGGCGGCGGGGCATCGAGTTGGGGGGGGCTATGACATTGGAGCCCCCGTGCTCGGTAGTTGGCCTCTCCGCCTGGGCCCGAGTTTGCGTCAGAGGAGGTCCCGCTGTCGCAATCGGCCCCGTTGGCGAGCGCCTGCGCGGCGGCGGGGCATGCTGCCCGCGGCGGTGCTGCGCTCTGCGATGGGCATGTAGCGCGCGTCGGGCCCCCTCCTGCGCTGGGAACCTCGGCGGCGCTGGCAGCCCGTGGGTCGAGGCCTTGAGTGCACCAGGGGTCATGTGCATCGTTGCTTTTGTCATTGGTCATGCCCGCGAATCCTCCGAACGATGGCGGCGTGCGAAGAGCGCTGGCAATGTTATTCGATCCATGCTCCGCGATGCGACCCGCGCACCTGAGCGTAGTCGTGAGTATGCTGGACTCGGCCTCTGTGGCTGGGCATCGTTTGCCGCGTGGCTGGAGCAGCGTCATGAGTTGGCAAGCCGCGACGCTGGCCGCTCAGAGGAGCAGCCAGCTGTAGACTTCCCGCGACATCGAAGGCCACCGCAGTGCGTAGCTCGGAATCGCAGCGCGAGAAACCGCAAGAGCAGCGCGCCGACGGTTTCATTGCGTCGCCTTGAGAAGTCAAAGAGTTCGCGGGTAGGTTGGAGGCGCGGCTCGTCGCCTAGCGGGCCGAACTGTGTGGCGAGGTTCTCGATCAGGTAGGCCGCGGCGCCTTCTGGATGGCCGTTGACTCTGCCTCTCTTCGTCATCTCCGTGCAACTCATGGAGCGCGCGAGCTCGCGAGCGGCCCCGCCGAGGTCGGATGACTGCGTCGCATTGTTGAGCGCTGTCCATGTCGGTGGCTAGCGCGCCCATAGCGAGCAAGTCCTGTAACCAGTGGCGGAGCGGATGCACGGGCTCGCGCTCGGGTGACCGCGGGGGCGGCTGGCGGGATGATGGCGCCGTGGCCGCCGCCGCCCCGTGGGCCGGCTCCGCCGTTCATCGCGCCCGTGAGCCAGCGCAGGACGGCCGCGATGAACTTGGGGATGCTGCCCTAGAACGTCGAGGTGGATATCCTCCTCGATGGGACTTCACTGCGATGATGGCTGCGTAGACGCCTTGGGGCTCAGGCCGGCGCAAGGCCGACCGCCGTGTCGAAGTGCAGGGCAGTTGTGATTATGCCGTTGTCAGCCTTGGTCGGAGCCAAGGTCGGTGAAACTTGTACATTGACTTGCAGTGTTCGACCCGGGTGGTGCGATGTGCTCATAAGGACAGCCGGCGCTATCGCGCGCGCGCCGGGCGCGGCGCTAGCCCCGGAAAAAGCTTCGAAACCATGCCCGACGCGAAACTGCGGTCAGTGCCTGTGGGGTTGCGATGGGTCGAGGAAGGTCGTGGCGTTCCTGTGGGCGATTCGCTCCTTATCGCGGTCGCGACTTTTGCCGTCGCCGTCGCAATCGGATCGGATGTGCGAAACGCGTTTCCAATTGGATCGCATAACAACCTTAACGCGCGATTCAAGGAATGAGGGTGGTGCCGATGCGGAGATGGAAATAAGTGCGAATGTGCGTCCGCGCCGCGCTCTTCGCGCGTTTCTTCCGTGGGCCGCGAGCAGGGGTCGCTCCCAGCTCCGCAGCCAACTAGAAATGCGGCGGTTGGAAACTGTGCGAGAGAAAGCACGGCGGCAATAAGATGTATACTGCGGGGCTTAACTCATCATGCAATAACAAAATCTGCGTCGACGCTCGGGTCAAACAGCGGCGACCTCTTCTATTTGAACGAGGAGGAAAAGAAGGAGGAGGAGGAGGAGGAGGAGGAGGAGGAGGAGGAGGAGGAGGAGGAGGAAGAGAAACTGGGCGAGGAGGGAAGAGGATTAGGAGGAGGAGGAGGATGATGATGATGATGATGAGGAGGAGGAGGAGGAGGAGGAGGAGGAGGAGGAGGAGGAGGAGGAGGAGGAGGAGGAAGAGGAGGAGGAGGAGGAGGAGGAGGAAGAGGAGCGCGCGCGCCCTGAGAGGGACGGTGCACGGTTGAACAAGAGAGTCGCCGACGTTGCCGAGGGCGGGGCGGGCGGCTCAGAATATGAAGGGGTCGAAACTGATGGGGCCCTCGATGGTGGAATCGATGGCAAGATTGTGGTAGAATGTGGTGACTTTGGAACCAGGCCCGATGCCGTTCAAGAGGGCACCGGCCTTCTAGATGCAATCGGGCGAAGAGATGTTGAGGCGCAGCGTGTTGAAGTGCACCGCATTCGAGTCCCTGGGGTCCGTCTTGGCGCGCGAAGTTTTTGTTGAGCTCATTGCTCCGCTCATCGCCATGAGTGGATCCTGACCCAACCTCCAAGGGATTCGGCCCTTGGTCCTTCTGCCCAGCGCCAGTGCGGATGTTCCTCAAGGCGGTCACGTCCCAGTTACGCACGATGAAAACCAAGCTGGCAGAGGAGATCACAACCTCGCTGTCCACCGAGGCTGCCAGGCTGGAAGGTATCGATGCTGACTCGAGGTCGGTGTTTCTCGAAACCTTCGTACCCGCCTTGTTGGAGAAGATTATGGGCTACATCACAGAAGACATGCTCCTCTCTGCCACGACCAATTTCCAGAAGTCCTATGAGCCGGTGATCGCGATGATGTACGAAACTATGTCCAAAATGGTCCCGACGGTAGCGGCACAGGCGCTCGCTAAATTGGGGGATCGACCAGACTGGCATGTTGCACAATGAGATCCGGGGGATCCAGGCGCTGGCCAGGGGTACGAGCTCCTTTCCGCACGGCTGGGGCAGTACATACACAGCGACAGCAGCGCGGTCGACTTGGGCATGAACGAGAGCAACTGTCCCAATGAGGGACCTCAGATTCAGAGCGACGGGGCATCACCATGAAGTACTATGCCATTCGCATGTGCACGAAAGGCGTACCCTGCATACAGGCGGAATTCTGGTGTATTTTGGTTGACTTGTGAACCAAAATTTGCCTCAAATTTTCACTGCCCTCAGTCACGCTCAGATCGTGTTTCAGGCCATCCAGGAGGCCGCATGCAGCCGCAGCCTGCTCAGCCAGCGCTCCAGCAGACCTGGCTGCAGCACGCCTCGGGCAGAAGGTCTCGGCGTCGGCGCGGAGGGCCGAGATTTTATGCAAGTCAGCCGACGCCGATGTGCGCGGCTTGCGATGTCTCGCCGTGTTGCCTTCCAAGTAAGTGGTCATGGCGTTCTCGGTGGCAACTCATGGGAGCCTCCCATCCCGTCTTGTTGACTCTTGCGAACCGACGCGAATCGACGCTAGACGACGATACATGGATCCTCGTCGACGCCACATCAGCGCTATCTCATCGGTTACCACACGCTAGTCGACGCGAGTGCGCTCCAAAGACGGAATTGCGAGGGTATACAAAGCTCCCATAATTTGCTACTGCAAAATGGTAATGGCGTCCTTGTACGCTTAGTGGTCGATGAGGCCCCACTCGAACGCGTCCTATGTTCACCGTCAGGCGCCTCTTGAGGCGCTTGGCGCTCATCGCTGCGGCATCGCGACGTTACCAGCCCAGGGGCGCCGACCGGCGTGACCCTGGAAGGTGCAGCTCGTGTTGTAACGTGCAGGCGGCTGTGACGTCGGTCGTGAGAGGGGGGCGGGCCTTCTCAGAAAGCTCGGGAGGCCCCCAACCTGCTGAGAAGTTGTCTTAGCCTTCCCCGAAGGCACAGAGAACTTCCCAGAAGGGCGGAGGGCTTCCGGGAAGCCCCGCCGCCTTCTGAGAAGGCCTCCTCCTTCTCACTTCCCCCCCCTCTCTCGCCGCCGAGTGTGAGAAAACGATATTGAAAGTTCAGCTTATGGATCTGGCCGAGTATCCTCAGGGTGCGCAGCGAGAAATTGGCCGCATGGTCGCGGAATCGCAGGCAGCACGCCTCCAATGGGGAGCCTTCGTGTACAAAAGCCGCGCAGTGGTCAGGCGACGTCTTAAGTCCAAATGGGTCCGGATGAGGGTGAGCGTGATAATGATGATGATGACGATGACGATGATGATGATGATGATGATGATGATGATGATGATGATGATGATGATGATGCTGATAATGATGATGCTGCTGATGATGATGATGATGGGGCTGATGGTGATGTTGATGATGGTGACGATTATGATGTTGATGATGACGATAGCACTGACGATGATGATGCTACTGCTGATGATAACGATGACGATTACGATGATAATGATGATGATAATGCTGATGATGCTGCTGATGATGATGCTGCTAATGACGATGACGATGACGATGACGATGATGATGATGATGTTGCTGCTGCTGATGATGATGATGATGATGAGGCTGTTAAGCACGACTACATGCTCGGAACACTCGGAAGGACGATCCTGATGGCCATCGTCGTCATGATCATCACCTTTCAAGCAGAACGGGGGCTGAGTACATGGAGGATTGCTGTGTACCGCTTGCGATAGCCAGTGCCGCTGAATTGATAAGGGAACGGATAAGGCGCAACAACGAAACCAGCAATCGCACCAACAATAAACTAAAAACGTGGCAACCAGCAAGGCTTGATGACCTCTTCCGAGCGGGAATTTGTCGCGCATTAGTTTACCCAATACCAGTTCGTACTCACGTTATGATCTTCCCAGAAAGCACACCTCTTATCTGGAAGATCATTCATGATGACTCCGTCATGTAGAATCGCAGCAAAGCCATACTCTTGTATGAGCGGTGTCCAACCTTCCTTGGGATCAAGACGCCCAAACTTTGCTAATGCTAGCCATCTGTTGCGCTGCTGGCGAGCAAATTGCAAGTCCGAGCCTGATGGCTTGTATTTGTAGTCAGGACAAGTACACCATAACCGATCCCAAACCTCTGTTGCTGCGGCCAAGTCCCAACCATGAAACGGATAGCGCACTTGTTTCGAGCAATCGCACCAGAACAATGGACGACTTGGGCCCGCCTCGACAACGCCAATGTACATCAGAGACGAGGAGCTAGAAGCAGCCGCTTGAGCGATACGCAACAGACCGCAGAAGTTTCCAGTATCACTGTCGATCTCGTATGCTCTTAGCTCGGCCGACGAGTGACTACTGTAGAGGTGCTCCAGCTTCGACGGAAAACTACTGCCGAAGCCATCGCTGAAGGTATCATTCAGAAAACGCTTCCAAGATGCAGCGCTCTGTAGGTGAGGCAACGCTGTTGTGTTCGCCGCCATTTCAGCACCCATCGATTCGATAAGGAGGGGCACGTCAACACGGTCCGAAGACACAGCATCAACCGGAGCTGTGATCGTAACACCGTCTACGTGACACAAGCTTGTCCAAGGAATGCGACCGCGGGGGCCTGGCTGGATTGGGTAATCACTGGGGCCAAAGAGCCCGTAGCTATTTGGCAGGGAACTGGCTAGATGATCAGCCGTCTGCGACAACAAACACGTCAACACACTTTCTGCACTGGCGCAACCGGTTTGAGGAAGCCATGCCTTCCTATCCTGCTTTTCTTTTTCGGCCTGGCCCATTCTTGGTGCACCTGGACTTGCTGACAATGCAACTGCACTGTGAAAAAGCCCAGCCTTTCCGCTGGCAACCAAGTGTGCCAATATAGAAGTGCCCCCTGCTGATTGCCCTAGAAGCGTTACTCGAGAAGTGTCACCTCCGAAGGCGCTTCCATGACGTTGCACCCATCTCAAGCATAGTTGCTGATCCAAGAAGCCGTAGTTCCCACTCGTTCCGCGTGGATCTCGCTCAGAGAGCTCATGCAGTGCTATGAACCCCAAGACTCCAAGCCTATACTGACAAGTAACTACAAGCACCTCCCCTGTCAAACTGGCTATCTTCTCTACGTGGCCATCACTCGTAGCGGACCCGCTAGTTAGACCACCGCCGTGAATGTATACGAAAATGGGCAGCTTGCTTGTGCCCACGGTGGCAGAGACTCGCGAGTAGCTTGGCACGAACACGTTCAAAAACAGACACTCTTCTGCTTGGCCGTCATGAGAAAGCCCTCGACCGAGACACGCAGGACCATCAACCATTGCAGAGCGGTGTGTGGCAGGCTGGAAACAAATATCTTCTGGCGGTAGCCATCGAGGGGCAGCTCCGAACTGCACGCCGCGAAAGGCAGCAATGACACAGTCGGACGACGCACGCTCCCATCGACCAACGAAAGTTCCACAGGAGGTTACAGCAACAGGTGGCTGCCCCGACAGCTCGAAAACTTCCAAAGACCTGGCGTGAGACTGCAGGCCAGCTGTGGAGAGCCCGACGAACGCGGCCCCGGCTAACAAAGCTGATACCACACGCAGTAGGTATTGGCATGGCGGGCGCGGCTCCCAGGGATCCTCGTTGAAACCAACATAGTGGCCATCTAGGACAGAGCTTTCGGCATCGGCATCCCGCGCATGTCGTTGTGCAAACTGTCCGCTCATGGTCCCGGCGTGACGCCGCCTGGTGCCGAAACGCTTACGGATGGCTGCTGATCATGATTCTGCTGTTGCTGCTCATGATGTTGGTGATCAGGTACCCGTCGGCCGCAGCCAGCCTGAAGAAGCGGCGCACAGTCGGCACGCCTCACCGACGCGCGCCTGGGTCGAGGTGACGCCGCACGGCCGATGCACATGCCAAGGGCAAGGATGCCCGTGGTGCCACGGCCAACTCTGCCTGCCACCGCTGAGGTGTCACCAAGGTCCCGAGGCCGCGAAGTCCCCTGTGTACGCGCGGCACCCCCCTCCCCTCTAGTAGCCCCCCCTGGGGTAGGCTCCAAGATTCGCGCCCAAAGAGCTTCGGATGTCAGCAGGCCCCCGTCTGAAGGGGGGTGAGGAGGCGTGTTGGACGTTCAGCTGTCTCCCTCAGCCTGCTCCCCCTCCCCATGGATCCAGAATCCCGTAGGAGGGTGTGGGGGGAAGGGAAGGGCCCCGGGGTATATGTCCTTCCGAGCTCGCCGACGCACCTGCCAGCTTATAACAGCATTGTAACCTTTTAGCCAGCGTGGGCCCCAAGCGATGATGTCTGGTGATCTATGCGGTGACGCTGATTTTTACAAGCGAATTGACACATTTCATGCTCTTGCAAACATCCCACCCACCCACCCGCAACTTGGTTTGCAAAATCCATGCGGTGGCGATTGCGATGGGTGCTTGGCGTTGGCTGGTGCATCTCTGCGGCCGCGCCAACCCAAGCATGCGCGCGCAGCGGCCAGCTAGATTGGCGCGACCGACGCGGCCGCGGTGGCGCTGACCGCTGGGCACATCCCACCGGGCACTTCAGTGCGAGTCGGCGACTTGGGCAAGCGCAGTAGCATGGTAACGTCGACAACGGTAGGCACGATGATGATATCAGAGATGCTGGTGACGATGTTGACGACGACGACGGCGCGGCCAGTGTGGGCGCCGATGCTGATCACGCCGACGACGATGACGGCGTCCTCGCGTCGGTGATGAAGGCTTTGGAAAGAGTTCGACATGCGCGTGCGGCCGACGCGTGAGAGCGGCCAGCATGTTATTATTTGACACGGATCGTGCCCCCCCAACACGCGCGCAAGGGCGTGCGAGTAATTTCGGCATGCGGCGCGAGAGGCCCGTGTGGCAGAATTTCATGACAATGTTGAAAAATCAATCGCTTTCTTAAGAATTCGCAAGAGCGCGAGCGCACGCTTTTTTGAACACTGATGTGGCGAAACCCTGTGTTTTCATTTGTGTTTTTGGACACTCGATTGTGACATCCTTACGAAATCGAGCGTTCTTGACGGATTACGGCATGCGCGCGCGACGACGCGTGCGTGCACTTCGTCCCGCTTTTTGCAAACTATTCTCGCGACGGCACGCGCGCAAGGGCGTTCCAACGGGTTCGACATGCGCGCGCGAAGCCCGTTTAGTAGCATTTCCTGAACATTATGGGAGATCGTCTTAAGAATTCGCAAGGGCGCGCGCAAGCTTTTTTTGACCATCTGTGTTGCGAAGCCCGGTGGTTTTATATGTTTTTTGGGCACTCGATTTTGACAACCTTACGACGCCGAAGGTTTTTGACTGAATTCGGCATGCGCGCGCGACGACGCGGGCATGTGCACTTCGTCCCATTTTTAGAAAGGGGTTATTGAAAACTGATGATTTTTGATCAACGAATGTGCGCGCATAGTTCCCAACCATCCTGTGTTGGGTCCTTGTTTTGAAGAGGCAGCGCCCCGCGTTCTCCTACTCTCCTCCTCCTCCCTCCTCCCTCCTCCCATGCGTGTCTCTGCCCTCCGCATGTCCATTTCGGCACTCTGCCCTCCGCATGCCCATATCGGCACACCCCTCACACGGTTCGTGGCCCCATAGGGAGCTTCACCCAAGGCCCCAGCGGCCGCGTTCACATGCGTCCACCCCGCCCACAGCATGCCCACTTCGGCACACCCCTCGCACGGTTCGTGGCCCCATAAGGAGCTCCACCCAAGGCCCAAGCGGCCGCGTTCACATGCGTCCACCCCGCCCACCGCATGCCCATGTCGGCACACCCCTCACACGGTTCGGGGCCCCATAACGAGCTCCACCCAAGGCCCCAGTGGCCGCGTTTACATGCGTCCACCCCGTTCACCGCATGCCCATGTCGGCACACCCCTCACACGGTTCGTGGCCCCATAAGGAGCTCCACCCAAGGCCCCAGTGGCCGCGTTTACATACGTCCACCCCTTCCACCGCATGCCCATTTCGGCACACCCCTCACACTGTTCGTGGCCCCATAGGGAGCTCCATCGAAGGCCCTAGTGGCCGCGTTCGCATGCGTTCACCCCTTCCACCGCATGCCGGTTTCGGCACACCACTCACACAGTTCGTGGCCCCATAGGGAGCATGGCGCCCGAGGCCTCAGTGGCAGGGTTCGCATGCGTCCACCCCTTCCACCGCATGCCCATGTCGGCACACCTCTCACACTGTTCGTGGCCCCATAGGGAGCATGGCGCCCGAGGCCCCAGTGGCAGGGTTCGCATGCGTCCACCCCTTCCACCGCATGCCCATTTCGGCACACTCCTCACACGGTTCGTGGCCCATCTAGGGAGCTCCACGGAAGGCCCCAATGGCGACGTTCGCAGGCATCCTCCCGACTCATGTCGGCACACCTTTCACATGTTTCGTGGCAGAAGGCTATACCGCGTGCGCTACTCGGAGTTTGCGCGCCCCCCTCCTTCGTCTCATCTCTCTCGCGGCACTCGCAGCTGCATATGGTTGGGTCCTTCGTCAGGCTAATGTTTTTGCAGGGGATGGCGAGGGGGCCGATACAGGCCCCCCTGGGATGGTGAGCATTCATATTTCGGATGGACGATGGGGTATAATCATTTGTAAATTACGATACGATGGTATCGGAGGAAAACCCCAATCATAATTTTTTTAGGTTCTATGGCTATGGGGCTATTGGGCTGTAGAGCGATGGGGCTATGAGGCGATAGGGCAATGAAACTATAGGGCTATAGGGCCATAGGGCTATAGGTCTATAGGGCTGTAGGGCTGTAGGGCCATATGGCTATAGGGCCGTAGGGCTATAGGGCTATGGGGCTCTGGGGCTCTGGGGCTATAGGGCGATGGGGCCATGGGGCTATGAGTCCATGGGGCTATGGAGCTACAGGGCTATAGGACCATAGGGCTATAGGGATATGGGGCTGTGGGGCTTTAGGGCTTTTAGGGCTTTTAGGCTATTGGGCTATATGGCTATAGAGAGCTCTAGGTCTCTAGGGCTCTAGGGCTATAATGCTATTGGGCTACAGGGCTATAAGGCTATTGGGCTGTAGGGTTATAGGGCTATAGGGCTGTAAGGCTATAGGGCTATAGGGCTATAAGGCACCCGGGCACCCGGGCGGGCCGTGGAAATCGGTTTCAAAACTCACCTAACCATATGAATCCGCTAGGACCCCTACAGAGGCAAACTCTGATTGGGGAAACATGGGAACGGATAATCCTGGGGGGGGGTAGAAAGGATAATCTAGGTAGTGCGAACAATGTGGTACAATCTAGGCGCTGCAAACCATGTGGTGCAATCTGTGCGGTGGAAAGAAATGCCAGCCAATGACACGCAATGCAAAGCAATACAACGCGATTGCAACGCGAAATGTTGCAAATGCGATTGCAGTGCGACTGCAATACAATGCGATGGAAAGGCAACGGGGGGGTGCAGCGGGGCGGAGGCGACGGACGGGAACGGGGCCGCAGACGGGCCTGTCCAATCCTTTGGACTGCACTCGATTGGCTTGTGCAACGCTTCGATGGCAGCCGGAAGAAAGGGGGTGTGCAACTCGGCATCGCTCGGACGTCCGTTCCCTGTGTTTTTTTTACGGTTTCGTGCGTGGTTTCTTCGCCAGATGATCAAGGATGCTCCTCGATGGTCCTCGCCGAGAAAAAAAAAAGCACACGTCCGAGCGATGCCAGGGCAACGGGGCGGCGGCGGCAGGGCGACGACGGCGACCCACGGCGGCGGACCCGACCACGGAGCCCGGACGACGGGCGGCGACGGGCCGGCGACGGGGCGGCCACGGCGACCACGGGCCCGACCAGCGGAGCCCGGACGCCCAGACGACGGCCGGCGACGAGGCAGAGACGGGGCGGCTGCGGCGACGACAGGCGGCGGACCCAGCAGCCAGGCCCGATTTCTCAGAACAGAGGGGCGTCGACGAGGCGGCGACGGGGCGGCGGCGGCGACAGCAAGGCGGCGGACCTGGCAACCGGGGCCCAGCCCCTTAGTAGAAAAGAAATAGGAGCCCATGAATGCAAGCACGGTTCTGGGAGTACCTCACTGGGCCCCGAAGAGCCCTCGAAATCCCCCAAAGGGGTGCGTGCCTAGGTGGTGTTCCATCTTGCGCAGCATATAGTACTACTGCCAGACCCCCTGACGCGCTCGGACGCCCTCGTCTCGGCGCTGGCTAGATTTTCAGTGCAAGCGAGGCTCTCGCTCGAGCGCCTCGGGGTTGCGCCGAAATCGCCCCCCAAACAACAGCAATGAATGCCTCCCAAAACGGGGCCGGAGCAGATGGGGTCGGGGAATCGGGCCGCATCGCTCGTTGGCCCCGCTCCACCCGACTACAGCCAACCCGTATAGTCAGAGTGAGGGGGCAGAACGGTCATTCACTGTCCCTGGGCGCATGGCTGAAGTGAGATTCTGCGCTGCAGATTGGTGTTGTTGCTGTCGTCGTCGTCGTCGTCGTCGTCGTCGTCGTCGTTAATCTTATCATTGTTGTTATTGTTGTTGTTATTCTTGTTGCTGTTGTTGAATTCTCATGTCTAAAGAATAACTAGTGTTGACCCCCGGTATTTTTTTCCATTTTTCAATCAAAGTGCTTCTCTGGGGGCTCGCATCCTGTGTTCTTATAAGGGAAATTAAGTGTCACCAAACTTGCCCCCTTGCCCCCGGTTTACAACGACAACGGTTCCGCCTCATACTTTCTCACCATTTATTCCCAAATCGCTCT